TCGGATTTTGTGATATTTCGCTCGCATGATGGCACTATTAGGACGAAAATTCTATATGGCTCCATCTTTCCTGAAAGAACATGAAACTAAACAACTTAGAATTGATAATTGCAAGATGTTGGTCGAAACGGTAAGTATTCCTTTGTCTATCCTTTAAGTAGCCCTCGATCCCACTGACGAAGATTATTTTTCTTTCAGTTTGGGAAAGGCTCTTTCGTTCAGTCTCTTGATAAAGCAACCTACGTCTTACGTGCTTCAAATGATAAAACGTACGTCCATACCCTTTACAATTTTCATTATTCAATTGGAGCTAATTTAAATTGTAATTCACTTTGACTCACTAAACGCGACAAACTTGCAATTTGTATAGCACCTATTCTGTCCCCTCTGTCGACTGGGTTTCCTTCATCAGAATGATTATACCGACTTCAGCGAAAACTCCAAGTTCTAGGTCAAACACATTGCTAAGTGTCACCAGTTCTGCCGGAACAGGAACTAGAACCACCCTTGGCACATCAACAAGACGGTATTAATGAATAAAATCTTGTTGAATTAAAGAATGGTGATAGTGGGTCATGTAGATTGATTAAGTAAATAAATTTAAGCCGTCAAGACGTGAGAGAAGCATATGCTACAGTTTTATTTTATGTATATATATATGGATTGTAGAAATAACAGTTAGCTTGCTAAATAAAATTGGATGTCTCATTAGTTATGTGGAGTTCACATGTAACTGAAGTATAATACTATTTTATCTTTATTTATATTTTATACATTATCCTCCTATACATCCATTATGGTCTAGTGGCTAGGATTCCGCGCTTTCACCTGTGGAAAGCTCCGCGGCGGCCGGGGTTCGATTCCCCGTAATGGAAACTTTTTGTAGATTCATTTCTACACTGTAACATCAATTCAAATCTCTTTTGTCCCCGACAAATTTAATTTGCTTTCCAAATGGTTTTTGAGTACGATTAATTTCTAACAAACATTCCAAATTCCAAAATTGGTCTAGTTGAATGCCTAGTTTGACGAAATTTTAAATTCCATTATTGGCCCAAAGCAGAGGCGGGAAAGCAAATCTCGGATGGTATTTCCACTTGAAATTATTACCTAAAAATGTTGGCCTGTCAATAAATCGTTTGAATGCGGATATTTGTTCCGGCTTTCCGTCAATCGACAACTAGAATGCAAGAAAGTAAACTCTGCATAACTTTTGTATTCCGAACATCTCAGGTCTTATAATTCCCCACTTGGGTCCCGCGGGTCGCAGGAGATTACGTTTGGTCATTTATCAAAATCTCCGGCTGAACTTTAAATTTTCATTTATTATTCATAGTGTGTGTGGAATGACGATTTACGTTGCCATTTCGTTGATAAGGCACTATGTAATCCTTAATCGAACGATTTCAAGTCCAGTAAATTTATCTTTTTGTTTATGATCGAGATATGCTTGAAGTGATCCCAAGAGGGAAAAGTATAAACTATGATTCGTTATCTCTATTTACATAATTTTCCAGTAGTATACAAGACTTAAATTATTGTCTATTGTAGAATTAACAACACGGCGCGGAAGATTCTGAATCGTCCAAACGAGTACCGCTTGCCCGCCGTCTCACTCGCATTGGTAAGAAAATTATATACCCCGTGGCGAGTCCCAATATGACCGCAGAAAAAATAACGACATTAAACGACATGGCTGCCAACATCAAAAAATATGCCAACAATGCCTCCACTGCCCGGACTAGGAAAAGAGCGACATAATGAAGGTATACATGGACAATGGGTCCATGATTCGAAGGTGAATGGCTTTCGTTAACTTTAGCAGATATTATCCTGTTTTCCATGATTGGCCTGTATGTTTGAATCGCCTCAACTACTATCCCCATAATCACAAGAACGATGAATGACCAAACGTAATCTCCTGCGACCCGCGGGATCCAAGTGGGGAATAAGACGTGAGTTGGTTCGGAATGGAAAAACATTTTCATGACAGGTGGAGTGGTCATTACATCGGTCCCGCATAGCGAATGGAGTTCTGGTGATTGAGAGCACATTGTTTTCCAGCTGCCGCATTCTTCCATATTCGGCATGGCGACACACAGTTGAGAATACACCGTGAGTAAGTCGCAATTGCCGAAGGCCGTGGGAGAAGCAAATGTGCATTTTTCACAGCCTTCCATAGTGTGGGAGTTGCAAATGGAGCGAACGGCACTGTTCACTGTAGAGGTGGTAGGAAGCCCAGGGATGGCCGTTGACTATTACAGTAAAAGCATTAGAGGAGAAAACTATACTTATTACACTATAAGGCGACAAGTAAAAAAAGATGAACATACTGCGGTGCATTGTTTGACCGTGGAGTTTGTAGGGGCGCACATGCTGACATAATTTTTACAACCCCCCATCTTTGGCATGTCGTTTTTGCACGTATTCGCCAAAACAGAAAATCCGTCGCAATAACCTTTTGCTTTCAAACTAGTCGCCGTCATTGAGGTGGCCTTACAAATCTTGTCAATAGTGCATCCGGACATGAAGTTCATTTGGGTGCATAGGTTTATATTATCGGCGTCTTGGAGGTCGGTGGGATATCTGTAGTCAGCGCAGGAAGAATCCCAAGGGGTGGAAACGCAAAGGGGGGCGGTCGTATTACTGTCGGTGGTATGGTTATTACCATCAGGCATCGTCATCTGAGCATTGTTAAACCCTAAATATGCGAAAACCGCGAGGGTGGAGAGTAAGACCTGGTTGAGCATTGCTGTTGAGTGTTTCTCTACAAGGGTTTGAGTGTGACGTCGAACTTGGAACGGAGACACAGGACTCAAATGAGACAGAAGAGACTCCGGATAATAGTATGACAACAGTGTATTTCAACAACCAGCTTCAGTTCCGAGGGTCAACACTCAACTGTGAGTTACTGACTGTTACTGTCTACTGACCTGATCTCATCACTACATTCCAATTCGAGGCAAGCGGCGAAACTAAGAACACAATTGACGCGCATATTATTATCGACGGACTTCGACGGATTCGACTGTAAAGTCTGGAACTAGTTCCTGAATACTAAATGAGACAGAAACTGAAACCTATTAAGGTCCCCTGTTATAGTGTTTATTTTCCAATCTCAGCACAATGGACAGCACAGACAAAACTATATGGATGAATGAGAAGGAAGGCTGTGTATTCGTTCAGCGCCGAACTACGATTGTGTCACATTGCTGGTCGCGTCAGGCCGCGTCGGAATTCAATCCAAAACCGGAAAAATGGCACATTTTTGTTTCAGTACGGTACTCATTATTTGACTGTGAAGAGGAATATAAAAAGATCATAAGTATGCATGGTAACGTTAGGACACAGCTGTTCTTCTCTTCTTAATCCCTTTAGCACATCACACGCATTCTCTACTACCCAAAATGAGTAAGTGCATCCTCACGGCTCATGACTGATCACTATTTCGTACTATGATTTGATTAACATAAATTGGCTTAGCTTACGGATACGAAAACTCCTACAAAAACGACTACGACTACGGTCACGACCACGACAGCAAGAAAGATTATGGTGCGTTACCTTTAATTGAACATGGTTACATGGACTGTTCGCGTTTCTTTGCCTGACTTGCTAACCATCTGCAACGTTCTGCATTGGGACTCTGTAGATTATGACTATGACAAGAAGGATTATGGTAAATCATTATGAGTATATGGCCGTCCAAATTTTCTATAGAGTTAACCTGGAGTATTTGACCGCATTAGATTACGGCCATGATGATAAGAAAGATCACGACTACGGTTACGGATACGACTATGGCCACCACGAAAAGAAAGACTATGACTACAATAACTACGGATACGATTATGGTCACCACGACAAAAAAGACCATGATCACGGTTATGGATATGATCATGGTCACCACGAAAAGAAAGACTACGACTACAATAACTACGGATATGATTACGGTCACCATGACAATAAAGACCATGATCACGGTTATGGATATGAACATGGCCATCACGAAAAGAAAGACTATGACTACAATAACTACGGATACGATTATGGTCACCACGAGAAGAAAGATTATGACAATAACAACTACGGATATGATTATGGTCACCACGACAAAAAAGACCATGATCACGGTTATGGATATGATCATGGTCACCACGAAAAGAAAGACTACGACTACAATAATTACGGATATGATTACGGTCACCATGACAAAAAAGACCATGATCACGGTTATGGATATGATCATGGCCATCACGAAAAGAAAGATTATGACTACAATAACTACGGATACGATTATGGTCACCACGAGAAGAAAGATTATGACAATAACAACTACGGATACGATTATGGTCATCACGACAAAGATTATGACTATGATTATGGATACGACTACGGTCATGATGACCACAAGGATTACTCCTATGGTAAGCTCTAATTCCAATTCTGAAAATATCAATATTATATACCTAATGCAATTGTGTTCAGATCACTACGACTACAGCGACTATAGTCACAGCTATGATTATGGTTCTTATGGTTGCTATTAGGTTGAAGTGTATTCTGTTATGGTTAGCAAAGATACATTGCAGGCGCAGTAGAAAATTAGATCCTTTAATACTATTGTTGTCCCGCGTTAATGTAGAACCCTTTTAGAGCGCTAATAAAATTTTTGCAACGTGGATCAAAACGCTTGACTCATTTTCATAAAAGCCGAATTTCGAACTGACCAAATCTGCCAACAAGATTTATGCAGACGTTGTGTTTGTGTTGGATACACTACGCGACATTTATGATTTCGCATTGATGATAATGAGATTTCACCTGGGAGCAGTAATTTACAAGCGATAGAATGGCCCAGTATTCACTCGCCAAGTACAGAAATATCATGACGGAAGTATAATTTTTTTATGTTGTTAATTTGCGGGTAGGTCAGATAGGTTGAATATGGTGCACAATTGAATTTGAATATACTTGCATTAGGTGCCTCAGACCCTATCTCCATTATGGTCTAGTGGCTAGGATTCCGCGCTTTCATTCATTGAAAAGCTCCGCGGCGGCCGGGGTTCGATTCCCCGTAATGGAAGTTTTTATTACTAAACATTATATTTTCTACCTTGAACTTTATGTGTAGTCCCTGGCACTCGAACAGACTTGTAATTGGGGCGATATTTTGACTCTCTGCACAATCTCGCATCTGAATATTTTAAAGATCGCGAATTGCTTTTTTTGTTTCTGAATGAAGAAATATGGGTTTCCTCAAAGGAACATTATGAGAACTAAGAATTCATGTGCAGGAAAAATTGATTCATAAGTTTGGGTGATATCTGGTGGGAATCGATGTGAATGGAGGATTGAGTTCCTGAGAATCAGCCAGATATTCAACGGCCTCAGGTGATCGCGCAAGTCCGACAGAAAGGCATTCGCAATTCCAACCGACTTTCTCTTTCTGTTTTATCTTGCCATTGTTGATTTGGAAGACCCCAACACATTTCAATCTTAAACAGAACTTATCATGACAGTTGTGACAACACCATCAAGGGAATGGCTTTTCTCAAACACAGCGGCAGAAGAAAAAAGAGAACAAGTTAGAAAACAGCAAGAAGACGAACTACGCCAGTTCTTGGCTTCTCAAGCAAAGCTGAATCCTAGGTTACGAAGACGACATTCTCAGCCCATTGGAGACAAGAGCGATGACACTCACAGAGCAGGTAATCTTGGCAATTCGGACGCCAAAAGGAGCATAGCGTGCACGACTGGAATTGATCCATCGATGCATTACTTCCGACCTGAAGAACATCGACATGAATCTCAAAATTCCATGAAAAATGAAAATCAAATCGACAGAAGCAAAGCAAGAAGAACCTGGGATAACGATGGCCAAAATCAGAATGGAGGTACCCGAATCTTACGGTTGTTTTGGCGTCCTTATCAGAAAATCTGACAGTTGTTCCTTCCTTCGATATGATTGCATAACACAAAAGGACTAGCTACTGCTAATGGACCAGAATCTCGAGAATATGTATATTCTAATTCTAATATGAGAGGTTCTCCTAAGAGACCACAATGGTTACGGTAATTTCGATCCCCCCAAGCATTTATTTTTCTCCAATCGCGTATTTACAGTCAAACCATTAAAGTAGAGAATCAGCTCCCGAAGAATACGGCGAATACACCTATGATGGTGACAGGGAAAGGGAAGAGTATAGAATGCCACCAAGACGGTCTCGTTATAGTGAACCGGTTTCTTTCACTGAAAGATACAATCATACTACCCCACAGCGGGCTCGACAGTCATCTCGTCAAGATCAGTTTCAAGAACCCGACAAATTTGAGAATATCAGAAACTATGGCGACTACGAGAAATATCAAGCTCATTATCCTGCAGCAAATCAATGGCGAGAAACTCTGGATGTTAAGCAAAGCGCCAGTGAAACATTGGAATTGGGAAATATTTCCTACAGTAGGCGAAATCAAACTCCGGTGGACGACCGCAGAATTTTGGCTGCCAGGAATAGAAGAAGTAATATACTTGGAAACTCAGCGGAAGAAAGTAGAAAAGAAAAGCAAATGAGGGAGAGTTATGCAGAAGAACTGAGTACGTGTTGCGCTGGGTGAACTGTTCCATGTTCTGAGTTAACACCATCTTGAATGTTCAGAACGACAAATGGCGGAGCAGCAAGCGGTACGCCAAAGAGATAGATTGGCAAGAAGGGCTAGTAGGCAACAAAGCTCGGAAGATTTGGTAATTACTTTTGGAGGAATGCAGTTGTGGCGAATTATCCACTAATTGAATTTAACCTTAAGTCGGCGATTGGCGGTGATTCAAACTTATCCACTGGTGCATATCCTCCTGATATCCCGTCAGACATCTCAGCGAATGCTGGATACGTTCGTGGAGCTAGGTTCGGTTATACGTTTATCCTGACTATGACGAGCAGTTTTTCCTCACCTTGCGGTTATCTTGAAGATTACCACCTGGCGGTCACTCACATCTTGCACCGCCTCGAATCGCGGATTTGCCTCAGCAACCATCGAGCTTTACTCACTCAATGACGGTAAATGAATGATTGTCAACAGCCATGGATGGATGGGTCGGCTAAAGCTATAAAATTTAGGAGCCGAAGACAAAAAATTCCGAGGACAAAAGTAGATACCTCCGTGAACTCGGTACGTCGTTTGAGCATTACAGGTTATAATTCACGCTTCATTAATGGCCAAAAAATAGATGAACAAGTTCGCTTGAAAAAAATGCGCGAAGAAGAAGAGAAGATGAAGAGGAAAATGGAAGATGAAAAAGTACCAATTTCTTGTCTCTTCTCAGTGAGCACAATTGTAACAATGATTCTATAGAAAATGCAAGAAATAATGAACTACAATCCTTTCGGCAAGGGTGGTGCTGGCGCTCCGCTGAGAGCCTCAGATGGTTCGGTGATAACCAATCGATCCATTGCTAAACAAATGGTAAGCGGTCAATCTGAGTCGAATGTTATTCACTACTGTTAAAGGGTGGCTCAATTTTCGAAACTCTATATGTCAGGCGTTGTCTCCATCTCAACTACCACCAATACTGAATTTTCAGCAAAATCAACAGCAACTCTTGCAGCAACATCTACTTACACATAGCCAGGCTGCCGAACCTACCATGTCTTCGTTGGCTAGCGACGGCAATAATTCATCGGTTCAACCAGCTATACTTCCACCTAATTTACTGAACGCCGGGTTGATTCCTGGGCTGCAAGGATTATCGTTGAATCCTAATTTGCAATTGAATAGAAGTATAATGAATCCTCATGGAATCTTACAGTTGCCAGTGGACACAGCGCCCGCTCAATCGCTTCAGTTGCCCCAAGTTCTTAATCACGCAATCGTACAAGGGCAAGCTAGCATTGTAAGGTAGGTTTTCCGCTTTTATATCATTTTTATGGCAATGGATCGTCACCCTCTACCTTAAGATGCTGACATATATTAATTCTTACTATATTCGGTAAATGTAGTAATCCCACAACGAATAACACACCCGGACGCGACAAAACTACTTTTCTAAGAGGGATCACCGACATCAATAATTTACCCCCATGGCAAAGGGATGAAATAATAAGGAAGCAAAATGAGCAACATGCTATTCAGGTTTGCGATTGGACTTTATCTCCTTCCATGCTTCCCTATGCAGAGAACCTAAATCCTGGTATTCTAAATTACAAACAGGAGGCCCTTAAGCAACAAATGATTGAAAAAGAAAAGGCTAAAGCAGAGGCGGCCGCTAGAAGGAAATTAGAAGATCAGCTAGAAATGGAGCGATTAAAGAAAGAACAAGAGATGTTGAAGTTAAAGTACGAGAAAGAGTTGGAAGCGCAGCGTAAGAAAGACGTAAGCTTTTAAGTTCTTAGTTCTCATGGCACAAGCGTCTACCGTTATTAACAACGGTCATTCCAGGAGGAAGCGAAAGCCGCGAACCTTGCGTCCACAGTCGACCGCGAAACAAAGATCAAGGAACAACAAAAAAAACAAGAAGATTTATATCTGATTGCGAAAGCGGAAGCAGAAGCATTGAAGCGTAAAGGTCGCCGCAGAAGGGCGGGAAAAGACGAAGATAAAGATTCTGAATCCCATCAAGAGCCATATCAGCCTCCGTCTCAGCGACATCCTGTAGCACTCAGACCACCCTCCGCGCCTATTCCTGCTCTGCGGAATCAAATTGGACAGAGTCGAATTAACAACACTTCCGAACTGGATATAAATTCTCGCCAGCTATACGATAGCGCCAATGAACCACGGATCCAATCAACTTCACCGCCAATCCCTACATTAACGAAATCGAGAAACTCGCAGTCAGCAGAACAACTTAATGAATATTCGATCCCTGAAATACCACCTCGGCATTCCCGAACATCCATCCTCCTTCCACCGCAAGTGTACCCTTCTCCGCATGGTCGTCCTCAAAACCACCACATCCAGTTCGCTCCACAAATTGCTTCTGGAGCCAGCTATTCTGGAAATCCACAGCACCCAGCAAATTCTTTATCATCGACAGCAGCTCCGTCGCGGTCAAGGCCTACCACAACGAAATGGTCGGCACGTCCATCTGAAATCTCGCAACCATGGACGCAACAGTCGGATAACTTTCAGCAGTCGACACAGTCTGTTTTGGCGCAACTGCAAGCTCTAAAACGAGATTTGGAAATCGAACAGAAAAACGTAGAGATGAGTCTTGCTCAACCAATTTCAGTCTCCTCCGTTTCATCGACTGCGCGGTCACGAGGGATGAATGAAAGGTTACCGAAAATTGAAAAAGGGATAGTTAGTACTGATCGTCAAGTGGCAGCGATTAATGTAGAAGAGAAGAGACCTGGCAGCATGAGCGCCAGAAATCGGTATGTGCGATATTCTGTATTCGACGCCGTTTTCTCCGAATAGTTTTTGTATCTCGTCTTAACTTTTTGTTCTAATGTCTCTTATTTCTATTCTTGATCTATTTTTAATAGTTCGACGAACTGATAACCAGACCTGATGTGATAAACTCCTGACAAGGACTGTTAAAGTCCCCGTTACCTTCATGGTACTATCATGTAAAATATATCCATACAATTCATGATTTCAATGAGTGGACGCCCAGTCTTTTTAAGTTGTGTGCCACTATGGATGCAAAGCAGTGTAGAGAGGTTGTCAACTATCTCAGTCGTCGGTTTAATGATCTTTGCTTCATTCTGAATCGATGAAATGTGTGATTGATGGAATATGAATAAAAACGGCAAACGATGTATATATCAATAAGCCTTTCAATGACTGGCCGGAGCCTGTGAAAATTATATGGCTTGAATTATTTGTCTTTCTTTTTGATGCACAATGAGTTTGTCAGTTACCTTATTCTGCCAAGCAATTAGTTAATATAAATTGAAGGTTCCCTCGTGCCGGACGCGCCTTCGTCGACAAATGCAGTGACATTCCTTGAACCAAACAAAAGCCGACATTTATACGACTGCAGGACATATCGAATGGTTTCCTGCAGTATAATAGGCCTGATATGAGAATATTGACAAAATGATGTCAAGGAATCCATTGCCTTCATCCGATCCGAATTCGAAT